TCGAAATTTTCGTTCGTGCATATTATGTAATTAAGCGCGTAGAATGTACGGCGCGATAACAGCAATTAATTACAGCAATCCGGACCGCGTCGTCCTGCGAAAGGAAACAAGTTAAGTGCGCTTGAATTAGATTTAAATAGGATTATTATTAATTCTGCGATTATTACAATTATTTAACTTTTTTATCATCAAACGTACCTAATATAAAAACTTCGGAGAATTTTTATTTCAGTAGACACTATTAACAGAGACAACTGTATTATACAAGCGTATAATGTAATAATGCATAATGAAATTAAAAGTTACGGTTCTTTTGCTGAAGTTCTTCGGCTAAAGCTAGGAATATCAGTATTATCGTTTTAACGTATAAAAATTTTTAATAAAATACCTTAATTATTTTAACATTATGACACCTTACGTGCTGATCGTATCTCTTGATTTTATTTCCATTGATCTGCAATCACGATGGCAATTTGTAGTCGAGGAGGAGGACGCAATAGAGAAGAGGGATGTGTGTGCACCAGTGCAAACGGGAACAATAGAGCGTAGGGCAACCGTGATAGTGGGGAATTCCTGTTGGATTTGCGCGCGGAATTACAAACGATCGCGCAAGTGTAGCCGAATAAGGGCGAGTTCGGTAGGTTCTCTCTTTTCTCCTCTCCTTTCTGTCTTTCTCTCTCTCTCTCTCTCTCTCTCTCTCTCTCTCTCTCTCTCTCTCTCTTCCTCCCAGCTCGAATGCATCGGCGCGTTCGTGTTTTGGAATGCCGCCGCTGCAACAAGAAGAAAACGATTCGATTCCATCGCCGCGCCGTGGCGGCGGAGAGACTCGACGGGAAAGTTCTCGCGGGCCGAAGAAGGAAAGGCTCGACGAGGAGAATCGAGCCCTTGGAGGGAGCGAGGAAGAGAGAGAAAGTGTGAAAGGGAGCGAGTGTAAAGGTGTGCGGAAGGGCGAGAGAGGAGGAGGTTGTAGTAGTGACCAGTCGTAGAATGCCACAGCTTATATTGCGTGCCACGACAACGGCGTAGAAGTGCGTCTTTTCAAGAACTCTCAGAGTACTCTCAGTATTCTCCTTTTTTATACAAGAAGAAATTATACGTTTTGCATTGTTGTCACTTGTGCACTGAAAAAAATTACTCAATTTTGATAAATCATTCGTATGAATAGTGCCAACTAAATATTTATTAAATATAAAAAGATTTCTTTGTTACAAAATCATTAATTTGATTAACTATCATTTCTTTTTATTGAATAAATATTTACTGCAAGTAAATGTTTAGTTGATACTATTTAAATAAATATCTATTAAAATTTAATATATATATTTTTTCTTATTGCGTTAGTAAATGTTAATTCTCAAATTGCTGAATTTTTACATTTAAATCTGCAATTATTTGAAAATCGATCTGATTGTTTTGAAGCAGAACTGCTGGAAGAAATTTAAGAACTAAAAAAGAACTAAATTATGAATTTAATTTGAAGGAAAAGAAGTTAATCAATATCTACTCTACATGTTTAGCGGAAAAATATTTTTTCGCAATAACGTGCATTCATGTTCACGAATACGCAACATCCCTTCGTCGATTATTTGAGGGGAGATGTGAGCTTCGTGGAAACGA